GAAAGCAAAAAAATTATAGGCCCTTTTCAAAAATATTTTTAAACAGTTTAGTTTTTTTATGAAAAAAATTTAAAAAAAAAATCTGGGGCCCCTTAATTTGAGGGACACGGGATGGGGCCCCGGGCCGTCACACCTCTTGTCCTTCTAGTTGAGCCGGTACTGAATTTTATAAGGAAAACCAATTTTCATTTTCTCGGAGACTATCTTGGCGATATTATTTGTGCATATTTTGCTATCCGTTCAAAAAGTTGTCACGACAATTTTCCCAAAAATTTAGTATATATGTGATCGTACGTAACTCGTCCTACAAAATCGAAACTTTTACTTGGTATTTTCCAATTATTCGAAAAGATATATGAAATGTGATGCAAGAGATTTAAAACATATCATACAAAATCTGAACTCCGACCCGAACAATATTTTAAAAAAATATAATAATGCGAAAATGAACTAAATTGGATAAAATTATTGGTAAATAAGAAAGATGTGTAGGTGGAGAGGAAATATTGGTAGTGGACTTTCCCACCTTTTTTGTTTGTCACTACATTATTTAACTACACGACAAAACCAAACTTTTTGTCCTGCGTTTTCACTTGTTATTATTGTATATGTTTCTATTTGGGCTTTTTTAATGAATAACCAATAAAAAAAAATTATTTAAAAAATTGGTAAAAAAGAGATATGTGGCACAATCTTGGCCATTGAATTTAGGTTTTTTGTTTAGTTTGTAAATTATAATTTTTGTTGTTGTATTAATGGCCAATTATCCCTTTCTATTTAGTTATTATGCATATATAACTTCGAATGATAATGGAGCAATAATATTAATATAGACCATTAAACTATATATGTCTAGTCGTTCGAATCGTTGCGATTATATACTTCTCGCGGTTTGTCTTTGAAAAATAAATATTTCACACGATTGATCAAGGTTGTTCTGAACAATTTGAGAGTTGTATATAACTTTTTGTTAATGTATATTTATGAACAAAATGAGTTAGAGACATCAATCTATAAATAAATAGTCTATTGGAGAAAGAGCTAGTGTATTGTTGAAATCTTACACAATTAATTATTTATAAATAAATAGTCTAGGAGAAAGTCCCTTTTTTTTTGTTAAACGTACGAGAAAGTCCTTTGTTAATTAATTGTCCCATTAGACTATTGGTTTGTTGTTCATCGCATACATATCAAGATGAACAATGCAAGTTGCAACAACCGGTCTAAGTTATCGTAAACTTTTTTAAAATATGGAGACCGAGCTACTAAATTTTAAATAATGGAAAATTATATTTACTCGAATTATAAATTTTATCCTGGTTTTTACGTAAAATAATAACTGGTCCAAATTTGGAAGAAGAAAAAGACAAGGTATGGACAAAACCAAACTTTTGGCTCTGGTCCTCAGATTCCTCATGTGCGGTTGTGTACTCCTTGTCTTTTATATCTGACCAAAATATCTCTAGATTAGGCTTTGAACCAACTTCAACCTCAAAGAAATTTAAGTAATTCGAGTTTTAATCGAAATCATTGCTACCTTACACTTTTTGGTTTCAACATTTTAGAGGCTTAAGTTTTTTATTAGCAATCACTAGATTAGAGTTTGGACGCTTGTTCGTTGTTAGTTTTTGTTGGATATCTTATCTTATTGCTAATGATCAATAAAATTATGATAGTTAGGTATACTTTTAGAGTCTCATGGATAGTAAAATAGATGCAAGAATTTGTTATCTGAGTTTACGTTTTTTACATGTGGATTAGGTGTCAATTAGATGCTATAAATCGGGACGATTAGAAATTTAGATAGATTAAGCATTCAAAACAACAATTGCAAAATCATCTAAAAATTATATCCTCAAAATTTATGCAGCTAAGTGGAAAATTTTGTTTCAAGAGAAGTCAAATTAAAAGAGTACAACTTTTATCTCCAATTTCCCCGGTTGGTGGCGAGATTGATCCCACGCACAGCTGCTACTTTTGAAATATCAAATATCTAAAGCGGATCATTTCACAAACTACTTTAGCAAAAAAAATCATTTTGCAAAGTAAAATCATTTAATTGGGAAAGTTGTAAGAATATCGTATTCTTTTCATATCCATTATTTTGAATATTTAAAACTCGAAAATAACAAGTCGCTTATGTTTCTATTTTCTCTTCGATGTCCCGACCCTACGTAAAATTCTGAAGGAGACACAAAAACTGTTGTATAATAAATGAATTAAATTTACACTATTGTCAATTATTATAAGGCAAAAGGTCCCCTTAAACGTTTTCACATATGGCAACTATGATTAGCAAAGATTGATGTTAAGTAATTTATTAGAATTCGCCGTTGTGCTTCAATCTTATGATTAATCCTTATTTCTATTAAAGAGTTGTGATTACGTTAGTATATTAAAATCATGTTGATGTCTACACGTCAGAATAGTTAATGCATTTACAGGTACAAACAAAAGTAGTTTATTTTGAGTCCAAATAACTACACCTTTTCAGTACCAAAAAGCAAAAATTCGTATTCACATATATATATACATTTATTTATGATGAATATTGATTTATCCACTAAGATGCAACATGTAGATCGACAATGAATACAAATAATAGGGCTGGCCAAATTATCCGTAAAATTCGATTCGTTATTCGTTATTCGTTTTGATCCGATCCAAAAGTTTCAGAATAAAAGCAAAGCAAATAGTAAAATTTATTATCCGTCTAAACTGAAAAAAATCACAAATACTAATTTTAAAAATCCGAATATCTAATCTGATATGTATATTACTTATATACACATATAATATGGAAGATTTATAACATATATATACAATTTTTTACTTTTAAATATATTTGGCGAGTATATTTATAGTAAAAATAGTTTGATACTAACTTTAGTTGAAATATATTTCTTAAATAAAAAGAT